CAATTGGATCCTACGATTATCAGAAACAGTCCTTGTATTTATTCGACGTGAACGCCGTTTTTGGCGCAGTAAGTTTTGTCGAAAAAAACACAGTATTGTACATACAATATTGTACTTTGCAAGAAGGCAAACTTGCATGGGCTCATATTATCGTCTTTCTATTACTGCAGAAAATCTAAGATTCCAAGTTTATGCAGTACAAATGACTGGCACTTTATTCAACAGGAAATACAGAAACCTCTTCTCTCCGAGATAAACATGCATTCAATTTACAGTACTACATAAAAAAAATGGATACTGGAATAAAGGCAGGGCAACAATTAAGACTTGTATCACCCAGGATCTTCCCCATTCAAAAAGCGCACCTCTGGAAGTGAGACGATTTCTGGGTCAAATTCGAAATGTTGAGATATTCAACATGTGTGACCTCTGTATAAGCAAGTACGTACTCAAAAATGAGTTTTGCTTCAAATCTCTTTCATTTCACTAAGTCAAGTCTCATTTTCCCTTAGAATAACATTATGTAGATTTTAATTGGTGTTTCATGTACAAAATACTCAGCATAATTCCATATAAATAAAAATTGTCTCCCAATTTAAACTTATTCCAATCAATGTATTGCAACACAAAATTTGGAGAATCAAATTCTGATACCTCTGTAGAACACAAAGAAATGTTGGCATTCTCTGTGAAAAAAGTAACATCCATGTGAAAAAGAGAGAAGGAAGTCCCTCTCTGCTGGAGGTAATTTTTTTAGATTAGCTAAATGGATGGTAAATTGGTGAGAGAAATGCCCAATAACTTTTCCTACACCAATGTTAGGGTTGGAAATATCTGTTTCCTGTAATTTAGCCTGAAATGCATTTTTCCATTTGATAACAAAATTTCCCTATGTTGAGTGAGTGTCCTCATGTTGGGCCTTTTCTATTAATTTTTATTAGAAAATAAGTGTCCCTATGTGGTATTGTCCACAGGTTGAGGTGTCTGCATGTGAGGGTCGCACTGTATATACTTCATCAGTTGTTCTGTTTCACTGTCAAGAGAGCGACACCTACACAAGATATCATGTCACGCGGTATGCGAGTATCTGCCGCCTCCCCTAGAGCTTGCTCCCAGTTTGCTGGACTAGCCTGAAGTTGGGTGCAGTACTATACACTTCACAGTATATGGAACTGGCCCCACGTAAGTACAGTACTGTATCAGTTTTTTGCACGGCTTTGACCATGCAGTTTATCGCAGGAAAACATGCATTAAAATGGCGGATGACTGCAGCGCTATGATATTGGAGGGAAAATTTGGAATTGATCAAACTCCGTTGGAGCTAAAGTACTTGAAAAAATTTTCAGAATTTAAGAACCATCCCTCGTTCATTGTTCTTAAAGAATATAATTTTTCACGTAAAACTATGAATACCCCAGGTCGAAATCAGTATTTTATATATTAAAATTTTTTTGTGAGTGGAGTTGTTGTTGTAGAAAAAATCAAAAATTGAGAAGTGAGTACATCAGCACAAGTTAATTGTATTTCTCTTTTTGTGGGTGAAAGAAATGCCTAACTAGCAATGGGTGTGCTGAAAATACAATATTTGCCATAAACAACTTCTGCATACTTACAAGTCTTAGAAATTTATGAATATCTGCCATTATTCACCAAGAAAATATGTCTTGTACCCTTTGTGAATGCAAGTGCAGTGCAGTACACTGGTACCTTTCACAGCACCCAGACAGCAGAATTTGGAGCTTATATTTAATGTGTGCTTTGTTCATTTGTGCTTTTTTTCCTGCTTTGAAGTGATTGAATGTCTTTGAGGGGATTTGGGTTGGGTGGGGAGGGGGTTTGGATGCGGGAGTCTTGGTTGTGCCTTGTGAACGCTGAAAAGCGACAAATAAAGTGTTCTGTTCATTCATTCATTCATACAATGTACAATATGATCAGCTGCCAGCACTGGCCTCACAGTCACTTCATGCTTCTCAGCTCATGGGCCAGAAAAAATTACAAGTGTTACACTCCTTGCCTTTTTTTCATCTCCATGTTCACATATCCCACCAGGGTTTTTTACCACTCACAAGCACGCATCCATATTATCACTTCTTGATTACTGTACTTGGTCAATTTCAGGCAACCGGATGATTCACGAACTGGAAGATGCAACAGGACACAACTTATGGCGCTAACCCAGTTTGAGGGATGAGCCACGCCCGAAACTAACATATAGATGTCGCCCATATAAAGTCAGAATTGGAAAAGGAGGCAGTTTCCAGAAGGTTTATTTCAGTTGTTGAAAGAATCATGACAGGTGAACTATTTTAATCTTGAAGGAAGTCTGACTTTTGACTGCTGTTCGGATATTAGAACCGCAGGACCACCCTCTTCTCATTCATTTAATTTCCTTTAAAAAAAAGTAAGACACATTGCTCACAGATATAAACCAGCCGGTTGAAGCTAGTAATAGATTACATTCAGAATATTTTGGCATTTAAAAAGGGTTGAATTCTTGAGAGCATAAAGGGTATGAGGAATTTACATGGCTGCTGGTGAACCTTTCCCAATTTATTCACACACTGAACATGATTGAGAAACGATTGTTTGAAGTAGACATATTTTTTTTGTAACGGAGGCATTTTATCCATCATAGAAGTTCTTCTACTACTGTTTGCATTTCTCAACTTGAACAGAAGTGGATTGCAACTCTTGTCTTCATTTTGCATGCAAAAAGCTTAGAAACAGCCAAATTTCCGTTTTCCTTGTGCTGAAATCTTCCAATTGAAGTTCACTGGCATTTCTTTGGGTAGTTATGCTAGTAAAAATGCTTGCTAATTTGTCCTTCAGGTGCTTCCAAGGGAGACGTTCCACTGGTTTGTCATATTATTGCCTCTGGGGCTTCAAGAGGTTGGAGCCCTGTTCCCAAGCCGGTTGGCGAGCCAGACTATTGGGTTCTCAGGTTTTTCCCTGGCAGCTTCCTGAAGACCCTCCGACAGAATGTCAGAAAATTCCTTGGTCATAACGCCATTGTCTGGGCAGGCAGCATTCAGGAAATCCTCCACATTCACTGTTGAACAAAGAGGGAACAAGCAAAAGCAGCTGAAAGTCAATAACTCAAGCCTCCAGAAGCTGAATACTCTCCCCCTGTTTAAAATATTTTCTTCTAGGAACAATGCATTTTGAAAGCTGTAAAAGTTTTTTTTCTGCATCCACTTGACTGTCTTGTTTCAAGGCATTAATTGGTCTTCCCCAAACAGAGATCAATTTCCAGACTTGTCAGATAGAAATTGGTGCAGAAAAAATAGACATTGGGGCAGAAAGAAAAATTTCCAGAACATCTGACAACCCCCAACAATTGGTGGAATGTTCCGCGTTTTTTTTTAAGGCAAAATACCTCACAGCTGGGTTTACCAATAACGTTGCACAACTTTATATTTGGGACATGCCTGGGAACCCCAACAGGAAGTCAATTCCACAGAGGACAGGGAACAAGATCCACCAGTTTTCATGCATGACATAAATTTTCTCCTGAGGGAGAAATCCCGCTCAAACCATAATACAGTGCAATAAATTGGAGCGAAAGTAACAGGCCAAATTCACTAGAATTATTGTGGAAGTTTCCCAGTTGCGAATGGTGGACCCCTCTGAAATTGAGGAAAATTGAGAGGCACAAAAAGCGTTGAAAATTGAAATTGACAGCTCAGTATGTTCAAAGCATTTGAGGCAGAAGTTGGTGACAAGTATTTTTAAAACATTGCCCAAAGGATTTGAAGTGTAAAAACCCGCAATTTTGGTAATCTTTGTTCTGAATATTCCATAGTGAAAAACATGTTTCTGCTTATTCTTGGCAAGTTGCACATTTGCCAATTGCTGTGGGCTGTTTATTTCTGCCAATCCATCATTCCTAGGACAAATCCTTCCAACTTGTGAAAACTTTGAAGCATTTCACAAATCCATCTGTAGAAACTTCTGAATAAGTACATTTCTCATCTCCACTGCGATAAAATTTGCACAAAAGCCTCCCAATATACTGCCAAGTATTTTCCCCCAAAACCAACATAACTCAAATTCTCTAATCTCCTTTTGGCTATAGTTTTAAGCAAAACAAAATGTAACTTGATGCGTTTTGAAAGGAAGTACTGAAAGTGAAAGACAAATTGGGCAAATGAACCCTCGCCTCCAAGTTTAGTCCCCTCTCAACTCATTTGAAAAGCATTCAAAGGCCTAATACAGAACATCACCCATTACCATTTCCAAGTTGTCCAAGTATTTATTCTTTTTTTGAATCCCCAACAAGAAAAGAGCTTGTTCCTCCAAATCCAAACATGACCAAGAGGAATTCCTTTCCTGATGGCCCTTTATACTGAAGTTCAACTGAAAAGGCTTCACAGTACTGCTGTATATTGATAGGAATATGATATGTACGCACCAACAGGGTAAGGTAAAACTATATTCTTTTTTATAGCCAGAATACTGCTCGCAACCTAAAGCAAAATGAACAAATTCAGGATCACTGCATATAGTACAATATAGGCATAATTGCCCTTACGTTCCGGGAAGAAGAATCCAAGCTCGCGACGTGCACTCTCTGGAGAGTCGCTGCCGTGGGCCGCGTTCTTCCCGGGCCCTGTGCCAAAGATGGCCCGGATGGAGTCAGGGTGCTCGTCTCTGGCTCGGGCCACATCCGTGGGACCCAACATGGTCCGCCAGAGTCGCACAGCCTGGCTCATCTGATGGTCATTGGCCTGTTGTTGCTGCTGCTGCTGCTGGTCCTTGTTGTTGTCCTCGTCAGGATCAGGAGTGATGGTGCTGCTGATGGGCGTCGGCAGGAGCAGGGCCAAAGCCACCACTGGACCACTGGTCACATACGCCACCAGCTCCTCCATGAATGGTTTTCCACTGTGTTCCGCGTAGAACTCCCGGGCTTCTGCATCCGTCAGCTGCTTTTGTTTCTCCTGCGGTCATGCAATATTTTTTTTGTAGCATGCACATGTTGAAGAAAGAGGTAGCAAATCGAGGAAGATGGCATATATAAACATTTGACCAAGAAAAAAAAAATGAACCGACTTTTGATTGATAACAGAAATTCAATTCAAGAATCTGAAAATGTCATGAGTATATTCTTCATGTTATGGATACCCTGTGCTCCAAATACTACAATGCAGTGAAGTCAAACAATTGTGTATCAAACTCAAAATACTCGGCATAAAAAGTTGGCTCAACTAGTTTTTCCAGAGGAAAAGTTAAAGATCACAGACAGAATAAAATTATTGATATTCTGAGACTGAAACTGCTGGAGAAATGAGTTTGCAGGATGTTGAACTTGAAGGCCAGCATAAACTTCTCCCAATTCATCAATCACATCCTTCTGAAAAGCATATCAACTCACATCAATGTTCCTCTTTTTATTCCTAGTTCACCTGATTATAATAATCCAAAAGTCTGCAAAAATTCGAGTTATACATTCATCATGGAAAAGTCTTCGAGTTTTTAAGGTTGCATCAAAATTTTTGTGACAGAGTTGAGACAAAAACAGGAGAAAATTTTAAAATAGGGAGGTTTGGGAGGTTTTTGGCTTGGGAAGGTATGAGTTTTCAAGGTCCAACTGTGCATTCTTACAGCTGGGGATAATGCAATTGATCAAGTAAATCATCTTTCAATCAAGTTTCTCCTATTATTCAATAAACAACCATCAGTGACACTTTAATATGTTGTCCAAAGTTTCCAGTCATCATCTAACCAAATTCGATTCAAAGGGGACTGATGATTATCACATTTCCTTCAGCATCATGAAAGTATCGCAGGTGAATTGTGCATCAAGTTTCTGACGTAATGCAAAGATCCAGGCACAATACAGGTATACAGAATAATACTTCATTTCAACCTAAGATTCAAACATCAAGGCCAATTTTAATGAAAGTTTCAGAATATGCACTTCATCTTCAAAATACTGCAACAGACCTGAACAATGAGAAAGTTCTGCTGACGGATGAGTTCCTTGATATCACTTGCAGACTCTACGGCATCAGGCTTGATCATTGCAAAGGTCGTGTCCATGATGATTATGCATGTGGTTGAGAATGTACAGCACAATGATCAAGAACCACCTGTACATACAGGTTGGAGAACAACATGGAACTGATTTTTGAAACTCAAAATAGCTTGTTAGCAAATAAAGATACACCAATGAAAATAAAACCAAGTGAAAGCTTGTTCAATTCCCTTCCAAATGTCACATAGTTTTATGGTCCCAAGTGCTATGGCATGGTCAAAAGGACCATTGGAATGAAAACATGAGATGTATTTTCGCATAATTTTTTTCAGGCTGCTCAGACACAATTTACATCTGGTCGCGTTCATCACTTGTGTGCAATTATCACTATAACACCAATACCATCTCGAATATGGCACACTGAAATGCGTTCAATTGGTCCTTGAAAAAGAACCAGGATGGGTGAAGGGAAGAAATCAATGGAAAGCAATGAAAGCCACACACCGTGGTTTCTATACACCATCAGCTCAGCTGTTTCATACAGACCAAGACATGCGCAGTGACCTGAACCACTTGAACTAATCACGCATGCATCCATCATTCCCGTGAGTCAATGAATCTATACACTTCTTCATCCATGGTAAAATTTTCAGTGTACGAGTAATGTAAAATACCTACAACATTGTCTTTCAAAGCGCTGCGTTTTGCGAGCAAAATCCTGAACAGCTGCGTCCTATCAATAAGAAGCTCGAACGTTCGTCTTTCCCATTTGCAACAATTCGAATACTTTTTCACATTTTTCTTCTCCCGTACTTCAACTCATAAAACAGAAATAATGAATGTATCGCAGTTTTCTAAATTGCCTTCAATATTACATAGGGCAATCTTGGAAGAAAAAAAAAAGGTTTTGAAAAAGATAATACATTACTGATGTTCATCAAATCTTCTGCCTAAACGTTTAGTTCCAAACCTAACCAGAAAGACAACAATGAAGGTGCATCCAAGTTTTCCAAATGACCTTTTGGATCTCATTGGAGAAAATCGCAAGAAAATTGAGTCATGAATAAAATAAAGTAGAATTTTAACAGAATTGGCAAAAAGCAATGACAAAACTGACTTCACATGCTTACTCAGTCATAAGTTCATAACTATAAAAAGGTTTTCAATATTCTTCATTCAAAAGGTAACACGCGTCCTTCAAAAATCAATGGGCTTACAAGTATACAGCAAGAAAATCGAAATTATAAATTATGTGGAAAGTTAGGATGACCTACTGAAGAGAAAATAGTGAATTTGATTGTTTTCAAATATATGCATATTTAAAAACAATTAAATTTACAATTTTCCCTTTAGGTCATCCTAACTTTCCACTGTTTCAGTTAGTAAATCAGTAGAATGCGCTTTAAATGTGATCTACTTTTTATACAAAATTGGACTGAACTTCACTCTTCAACATTATTATGAATGTGCAGTTGTGCACTGATGTTTCCCAAGTTTGGACTTCAGAGTTAGTTACAGCCGTGAAACTTTTGGGAAAATCACTAAATTGAAAGTAGAAATTTAAGTACAGTACTGTACAACTGTTATAAAGAGTTGATCAGAGTGTGCATGAAAAGTTTCAAGATGCTAAATTACTTTGGCAATTCAAGATCAAAAAAGAAGCCATCTCAATTTAAATTACAATACCTTTCTTCAATGGACCAACTTCAGTCCATGAGTGAGACGTTTGCTTCATGTTGGCTCTGCTGCATCATCTGTAGCAGGTCCTTTCACAATGAAATTTTCGGTTCATTGGTGCAGCCCAGGTGTTACCAACATCTTCACTATACAATACAGTACAAGCATATGCTGAACATTCAAGCTGTAAGAGCTATAGACATCCCACTGACAATACTTGCCTTCAATTGTTGTACAACACCACCTCATCACAATTAACATGCCTTCATAACAAACTGCTTTGATTCCTCCATCATCTCAGTGATAAATCCCAAAACAAAATACCACACTTTATGTTCTAGGATTGCATTATAAAATGAAGTTGATTCCTTGGAAAGGAACAGTTTGAGCATGATGGAATGTGTGAAATACTGTACCATGTTACATGCTTGGGTACCAGCACCAGCTCTCAAGTAAGATGCATCATACACTGGGATTTTTCAGTTGGGAATTCCTCATAAAATCGTGTCCCCAAGCAAAATGCGCACCCCAACTTTAGTCACTCTGAAACCCCTATACATCAGTCCTTGATTCAGAATGAGAACACCCAACTTTGACATTAAACAGGCATTGAACATAAATTCAACCAATGTTCACTTTTTTCCATGAAAATGAGTTCTTCTAAAAAAAACTTGGTCCAAAATCTCCAATTAAAATCAGGTATAATGCACGCCAAAATTTCCGAAATTAAAAATTGCTTTTATCCATTCGTTCCTCTCAAATTTGAAAAGGAGAATATGCTGGTGGTACTCGAGTAAAAACAGTGAGTGAAAACATGAAGAACAAACTAAATGTCAGCTCTCCACAGCGAGACACAAGGTCATTGCCAATCACTTCCGGAGTACATCGCAAAGAAGTGAAATTACGGTATTTTCATGAAAATGCTGGCTATTATTTCCACTGAAACATAATTGATAAAGTCACAAACAAAATCTGAGTGCAAGCCCACCAGCAGTTCAGATACACACATACAATTTGGGGTTTTTGCTGATACTGTATCAGCAATTCAGCTGTCATTCTCATGAAGCACCGGAGAAAATAAGCGCAGAATTCACAGCTTTCTCCGTCTCTTACAATGGTGTACTCCAGACTGTCTAGAGGTCGCCCCTCAGCTAATAGAGACTCGATTTCCCATCATGCCTGATTTATTCCCCCAATCGATTTCTCGATTGAAATGTCGATGGGAAATTGGAGCTTGCACGGGTCTTCAAAGTTACAGACGTTCTGTACTGTACAGTATACATCAGAAAGGCGTACTTCATGCATATCCAACCCTGATCCGCATCGCACATCCCATCACTGACACAGATCGACACCCAGCTTGTAATCTTCATTCCTGCTATTGAGATGAATAGAAAACTGAGTGCAGAAGAAATCCAAAAACGGATCAGTTCATTCGCAGCAATAAAACATTTTTCAAGGATAAAAACCTTACTCAATTTTTTGAACAGAAAACCTAGAGCTAGCAACACGAATCGTACGACAGCAGTCAATGTGAACAGTACATCAGAGGACATTTTCATCTCGTGAGGATCAGTATACCTTTCACTACAACACAGGCCCTGGAATTGCTCGCATTACATTCAACCTGCACAATGATCTTCCGCGTGATTTCAAGCTCTGGTTTTTTTTTTTTTTTTTGAGAATGTTCGGAATTGAGGGTTGTTCTACCATTTTGATCTTATTAATTTCGGACTTATTCATGCTATGTCATGACGGAACTACGAGAATCTCTTTCCTTTCGGACCTCTAAATATACAACAAGTGATTTCGTTCTTCCAGATTCAGCTACCTTACTTGCATGCTTTCTTCATTTACATTGTTATACCAAACTGCCAAAGGTATTAGGAATCAAAGAGATATGCACTGAACGTCAATCTCCCTCCCTTAATATTTCTCAATATCCTTTCCATGTTTGCTTATTGATGAGATAAACTAAGTCTAGAAATAGTTAATCTTACAGCCACGGTAATGTGGGAGAGTGTACTTCTCTTTTAGGATATAAGTGCTTGAAAGAAATTACAGTGATTTCTTCGCTCGTATGCATTCTTCATTTTTTTTTATACTTCCGGGATTTTTTCACACGAACTTCGCTGTACTCATAATTATTTTTGTCGGGTCACAAGCCGCAATTGGTCCCGGTTCGGGTTCTGAGTTACACGCGGGGCCAATGATGGAGGCAAGGTTTGCCACAGATGAGAAGATTGATGGTTGAGCACCTGGGTTGAGAGCCTGTTGAATCTGCTGAAGCTAAAGAATCGTCAATTTTCCAAAATAATTCAATGCCAATAAGTTGTCTTTGCAACTGGAAACACATGAACTTTTATTTTCGGGAAATGTGATCAACAACACAAGATTCAAACAAAACATCTCAAATGCCGGAATTCTGGTGCGATAGAGAGGGAGGGAGAGAGAGAGAGAGATAACGTTGGTCAATTCTGTAACATCGAAATCAAAACAGTCATGACAAAATCAACCCACAATCTGCAGTGCACAAACATTCAAAACATATGAACACACTTGAAATAAATTTCCAGCCAAGAAACCATTCCAAACGTGAACATTTTTCTTTACCCAAATAAAGTTCCTTCATCATCAAAGGTTCAAGCAAAACTGATGGCAGCCAAGCACAAAGTAAAACAAAAGGCCTACCTGCAGGCCATAAAACAAAAGGATTAGCCCAAGGCTAATCCTTGGAACACAAGGATGCTTGGTTCTCAGCCTGGGAAACTCACATTCTGAACCAACCCTCTTTTCCCCATCAAAATAAATCAGTGCCGAAGTTTTCATTGGCGCCACATAGATCCAGAACCTTATAATACTATGACAATGCCTACTTTCTTTAAAAAATTGACTTGAAATGCATTTAGTTTGCATACCACCGCCAGAGGACGCAACACAAAGCCAAAATGAGGGATATTCAGGAATGACCCAAGAATAATTTGTGCCAAATTTCATAATGTTTACAGGTTCCGTTTGGGAGATATTCACAAATTACTGGAGTACGAATCTGACTGTACCAGCGTTAACATTTCCCCAATACCGTGTTAACAAAAAAAGTGTTTTTAGCGGAAAATCTATTAAAAATTTAGTTTTCAAGTTATCTCCTTTCTCAAAACCGGAGGTAAAAGAGAACATCTTCAGCTAAAATGTAACTTAATTGGGATCTTTCCACAGATCCCACCAAGGATCCAAAAAAAGCCTCTAAGAAAATATCCTCAATTTTTTGTCCAAGTTCCTTATGAAATTTAATCCCATTTCCAATTCCAACCCTCTGCTCAGCAATCCCTTTGGTCAGAGGGACATCTAGCAAGAATTGTCAGGTCCCTTCCATTTAGGGTACCCTACCATGTACTAAAAGCAAATGCCTCTTTGCAGAGGACTCTGACCTTTTTGTACCCCCATTTCA